TTTCGAGCTATGTAATTGCTCTAAAATATAAGATTTGCCTGTAAAATTTAATCAAAATGATTTTATTAAGGAACCCTCAAATTTCTATCTGTAAAATATGATATAATATTTCTTTAAAATGAACACAAGTGGCAATCCTAAGTATATGGACTATTCAAAGTTCTATGAAGTTATGTTCAAGTAAGCCTATCAAAGATTGCATCATTGATTTATTTGGTCCTAGTTAATACTTGGAAGTGGATCATTCTAGAAAACTGAAAAACATTATAGATGGCAAGGGACATCCATATTATGTCAGGAAGATTGCATGACTCTGTAAAAGACACTAACCTGTAACTAAGTATAAAATAATTGATTCTAGGGTATAATTATCCCTTAATATTTTCCTACTTTTAAAAATAATCAATTTTAAATTCTAAATTAAATGAGGTTACCCCAAACAGAACTAATTCAATTCAGTATCAAGTGACCCCAAAAGAAAGCCTGTTTGCAGCTTCTACAAACAACAAATTTATAGCCGAATTATTTTATTAAAAAGCCAGTTTGGTATAGTTGTTTAGGCACAGGCTAGAAAACCAGGAGACTGTGAATTCTAGTCCTGCCTTGGGCAGGGGAGTCAGCTGGATGATTTTGGGCCAGTCATTCTCTCTCAGCCCAACCCACCTCGCAATGTTGTTGGGAAAATAGGAGGAGGAAGGAGTATTTGGTATGTTCACACCCTTGAGCTATATATAAAAAGGGAGGAATAAAAGTCTAGTAATATATATTTTTAAAAGCTATACAAAGAACCTTTCCCTTAGATCAGGGGTAGGCAACCTTGGCTCTTTTATGACTCGTGGACTTCAATTCCCAGAATTCCTGAGCCAGCATGGCTCAGCTTGGAAACCTCTCCCTTTCCCCTCAGCATGGCTGGCTCAGGAATTCTGGGAGCTGAAGTCCACGAGTCATAAAAGAGCCAAGGTTGCCTACCCCTGCCTTAGATGAAGTCTTAACTACCAAGAAGGAAAGAAGCAACAATACTCCATCAGTTGCCGATTTCAGCTTCATGAAGCATTGTTCTAACTTAGTTTTCACATAGCAATTCATATTTCGTGGCTCAAAGAGACACACAGAAAACTTGGAAGCAGGCGGTTCCTTTGATTGCAATACCATGAGTAACAACTGATTCCTTCTCTTGAACAGTTTTTATTCCAGTTGGTAACTATAAAATCTGTATTTTTTTTAAAAAAATATATGCAGTTTGCCACATGCCTATGGAGATCCTCAATCATCCAGGTCATGGTTGTCCCAAAAGAGCTTTTTCCAAAGGACTTTCTTGTTTTTTTGTTTTCTATGAAAACGTTTCACTTCTCATCCAAGAAGGTTCTTCAGAAAAAGCCCCTTTGGGATGTTTAGTTTGCCTTGTCCCAAATCCTTTTTCTTTTATGCTACATCTTTTATATCCATTTGAAGGCAAGGAATGTCTTGCTACTTACTTCTTTAAAATGCTTTGACAGGATTTTTTTTTCCTATTTAAGAAAACACTTACAAAAACTATTTGTTTCTCATAAACAAATATTAATGGACCAATAGTAAACAGATTGGGAAAAGTTTGAGAAAATGATCTATAACCATACAAATATATCTCAATTGGTTTTTCTTGAAAGTTAGATCTGTTATTCAGCAAATATTGAATTAATATACTCAATATTGTAACATCTTTGGTATATTTGAAAAATTTTCACCCTCCAGAGTAAAACTGAATTGATGTAAGGCTTGAACTGAATAGGTGATATATTCTATCACTGACTAAGTAATGGACTTATCTTGTATCAGAAAAGAGATGAAGCAGCAACTCTCAATAGATTTTCAAATTCTGTTTTATAACTATTACAAATCGGTCTCCATGGAACAGAATAAAGACTATATTCTTTGTTCTCAAATACCAGCAATATCTCTCATTGATTTACACAAAATAATGATGTACCCTCAGTGTTGTTCAATACCACGGAAGACTATGGAAGTACAAACTATTTGCAAACATTTCATCACACATTTAATTGCAATACTGTTTCTACGCATAACATTGCTTTCTAGTTAAATATTATATATTGGTTATCTTATTCAGTGAATGCATTTAAGAATATATCTAAGTCCTCAGAACTTTGCTTAGTATGCTCTCTACTGAAAATGCTTATCTTAACTTATATGATATATGAAGATTTTCTTTCCCCAAAACAATTTCTATGGAAAGTGATTTTACTGCCAGTTCTTTAAATACTGATTCATTAAAGAAATAGAAAATCTGGAATGAGGAAAGATGGCAATTCATTTAGAATAAAGAGAGTTTTTTCTTTAAGGAATAATACTAATAATTCCTTTTAAAATAAATTCTACATAAGAGACATGCAAATCATCAGCATCGCTTTGTTTTTTCAGTACAAACTGACTCATTTTTCTTAAAATTACTCACACTGAGGTTTCATTGTGGAAAAAGCAACTCTGCTTTCATTGGATCAAACTTATAGAGATGGATGCAACTGTTGACATTTGAAATACGATCAGGGTTAACTCACAGTAATTATGGTACTTTGACAAAGATGCTATAAATGTAAATAATAAAACAGCTTAAATTGGGATGGAGCGGTGCAATTTTCACCATATCCTCCGTTTGTAAGGCTTGTTAGACATAGCCTCCAGAACCATTATTTTTAGACTAGTTCTTTTATCTGGAATTACTATTCTTTCCTCTCGCTTTGAATGAAACATATACATTCTTTCGTGATTGGTGTCATTTAATTCCAATATTTTCTGAGAATTTCTCCCATGTTATTTGATTTATTGACAGAATCTACAGGATGAGTTCTAACATAAATACTTTTAGGTACTCTTTGATTAAATGAACTTTTTTGTAGTTTCTACCAATCATATTGTTCCTATTGATTTGGGCTGAGATTGAGGGTAGAATTAGTGACAGCAAATGTTTTATTTACTCACCAAACTCTCTAAAGGAGCAAAATGAAGTTAAGACAATTTTTTTTTTCTGAAATGGAGAATAGTCCGAGTTACAGATTTTCTTGCTTTCCTTCTATTAAAATATTGGGTTATTGTTATTGTTTTTAAAAAATACTATTTTGTCATTTCAAAAAAAAGATAGAATGACAGGAAATAAATAATAAAGCTTCATTCTGCCACAGGAAGAGAAACAAAACTAATCAAAAGATAACTCAACCTCATAACATTGTATCAAGAAGTAATAACACTAGTTAAAGTTACAAACAGAACTATTTAAATTAGCATTACTATTCCATGGGCAACATTTACTGATCATTAGAAATTACATAAAAATCCTTAGGTTGGCCATAGGTATAATATAATATTGTAGGTAATAATAATAATAAGACGCCCTTATGTCTAGTTGACCCCTGGAGACTATTATTTAGCTTTAATTCTTAGGCATACATGGTTCTTTCAACTGTAGCCAACTCTAAGCAGAAAACATTCCACCTCTGTAGCAAAGATTAAAACATTAACAGTCTGCAAATGAATGCGCTAAGAAAACACTAATCCATAAAAACAAAAAGCACTGCTTGCAGAAGGGTGTTGATACTACACTCCACAAACATGCTTCCTGGAATAAGCAGTTCTTATTGGTTGGGAATTCCATACTGGTTGGGCTTACTATGAACTCAGAAGGAATGACAGAAGGGAGAAGCATATTTATGAAGTTAACCACTTGTATGCAATGGCATACAAGTGGTTAAATTCCTCTTTCTGAACTCTTTAGCAGGGCAAATAATCTGGTTATGCAGTCTTCTAAAATGATTCAGAAGAGGTGATATAGAAAGAAGACAGCATGAACCTGGTACTTTTTAAAAAAGCAGCTGTATCGTTCAGGGTTCCTGCTGAGCCTTAGAACTAGGATACCGCTACTTTCAAGAGAATGTATGTAGGTTTTATTATTCTTTATTTTGAAATTTTAAAATTATTTGAAGGCAGAGAGGATATAAATTTTTTAAAAAAAAGCCTTTTTAGCATCTCTTGCTGCACTAACAGAACATGTTTCTGAACTCTTCAAAATGAAGTAAAATAAATAAAAATTGTATCTTAAAAGTTTTCTGAACTAGAGTAGGTCTCCATTTTTTGGTGTTTTTTTCACTATGACTATTTTAGGAATAATACACAGAAAACTATTCCACATACTCACTCACCCTGGCTTCTTAATCAGCACAATGTACAATTTATTTTTTAAACAGACACGTAATTGTAAATTATTTTTTTCTTTAATGTCTTGAATGCTGACAGTGTCAAATCTACCAAAGAATAAAAAAAAAAATCCGTATCACAGATGTTCCAAGTAGCAGAAACTTTCAATTTTGGCTCATAAATGATGTTTTAAAAGTAAGATGTCCCCTTTAAAAATTGCCCTCTTTTTATAGAACTACTCCAGCAAAGCAGAATGATCAAAGCAATTTATGTGTTTTGATAATTTAGGATCTGCCTGAGTGGCTGCTTGACCTTTGAGAGCAGGGCAAATATTTCCAAGGAAATAGAACATGCTGTAAACTATTTGTCAATTAACTCAAAACCAGTCTAGCATGGCTACCAAATTAAACATTCATCTGCAACAACCTGTAGGAGAGATGTGGTGCTTGCTCTTTAGAGTCTCTCAAGCCTGCTGTTGGAACCAACATTATTCTTTATAGATTGCAATTATCCAGAGTAGAGAGGAACCGTTCAAAAACACCCCACAGCCTTACTTCTCTTTAGTTGTCAACATGTCAGAAAAAGACCACGGTGCGTTTGAAACCTCCACTCCCGATTGCCACGCTACAAAGACCAGAGTGCCTACCATCTTTCCTTTCTGACCTTTTGGTCTCCTTTGCAATCTTCCTCCCCCCCCCACAAAAAAACCCCTTCGATTTCGCTCCTTAAAGCGGGAGGCAAAGAGGAGCTCAATCTCAAACGTCAATCACCCGCCTGGCGCCTCCCTCCGCGGCAGACCGCTTCTTGGCGCTCACCTTGTGATCCAGGACGCTGATGTAGCCTTCCAAAGGACGGTCGGCGAGGCCGGGAAAGGGTGGCGGGGAGGCAGTGCCCAAGCGCCGCTGGCTCTCCGGCTTCTGAAAGGGGGTGGTCGCCGCCACCTGCTGCTGCTGGACTTGCTCTTTCAAGGCCCTTCTGCCGCCGGTACCGTCATTGCCAGCGCCGCCGCCGCCGCCTCCGCTCCCGATGCTGCCGTACATAAGCAACACGCTCGTGCACATGGTTGTGAGCGCTAAAGACACAGCCAACCCATGGCGCTGTAAGGAGGGAGGGGCAAGCAGAGGCTGAGAACCCGCTGGACACAGCTCGGGTCAGGGCTGAGCTGGCAAGAGGCGGGCAGTGAGGAAAAAGCGCTGGACCTCAACCAGCATAGCGGGATTGCAACGCTGCTTGGCCGCCGGGATCTCCCGCGGAGCTTCCGCGACCTCCGCAGCCTCCCTCCCCGCGGCTCTCCTTCCAGCTCCGCGCGACTCGCAGCGGCGCCTGCCTGCCTCTGATTTCCCGCCGGTTTTGCCCCCTCCCCGCAATTAGGCAATGCCGCAAACGCCCGGACGGACTTTGTCGGCGAGGCTGCCTGTTTGTGTTCTCTCTCTCTCTCTTCCCCGCCGGGCTGCCGAAGGAGCGCGCATAGCCTGACGCACGCTCCTTGGTGAAGCCGGCTCGCAGGCTGTGGAAGTTTGGACTTCCTTCTGGAAGGGCTGGAGGGTTTTTTAAAAATGGTTTTTTCTGATCAATTCGAAATAAAAGGAGAGCTGAGGAGGCGCGGGGAAGAAGGTTGCCCCGTCGCCTTCGTTTGCAATTCTTGCCCGAGGGACGGATAAGACCCCGCGCGCCTATGCGCAGCCTTTTGCAAGTTCCAAAGCAAAACCGCGGAAAGCGCACTTGGAGGTTGCAACGCGTTGCCCGCTCTCCTCCTAGTTCCGCCGCTTCTTTAGCCCTTTTTCTTATCCGCACCCCTCTCGGGCTCGCCTACCTTTCCTTTGGCATCCCCGCCGACCTCTCAATTTGGCTTGCGTTTTGAATCTATAGATTTGCAACCCGCTTTCCCTCTCCAAAATTAAGGCGTGAATATATGCAAATAGAGAGAGAGAGAGAGAGAGCCTTAAAAATGCTAGGTGGGAGATTGCTGCTCCAAAGTACCAAAAATCTTATCCTCGCCACTCTTAGGATTTACTGAGGGAGACCCCACATTCCTGCATTTCAAGCTGGACCCCTCTTCCCTGCCGACCCCTCGATCCCGACGCTGCCACCGCTTCCCAAAGAAAGGCAAGCAACGGAAAGTTATTCGCCTCTTCCTGCGGGTTTTACAAAATGCCCATCGACAGCACACCAAGCCCAGGCTGAAATTACAAATCCAGCCTGCCCGAGAACACCCGAGAACAATTCCCACGCCGAATCTCATGGTCTCGTTTCAAGTCCTCGCGGCGATCTGGGATCCACTTGACTTACCATCAACGTCTTCATTTTTGTACCCCCGTCCTTTATGCCGCGATCTCAGGCTCGAGCATCGGAACTCACTTTTTCTCCTACGGCTTCCATGGCAAAGGAACCGGCGACATAGTTTCTGGCGGGAACAGCGAGCGAAAATCCAGAGCCACGCCGGTGAGGATCAACCCAACCTTGAGCCGGCGAGAGAAGCGCGGCTCTTGCAGAGATTAGAGGCAGAATTAAAACTGGACCCTTTTAGAGTCTCCCAGTGATCTGCACAAGTACCGCCTGACGAGGCTTTCTGGGTCCTAAACCACGCCTTTTCCTATGCTCTCTCCCACTGAATTTCAATGTGTGTAGAAATTAACAGTTTTCCTTTGGGTTATTCCTACCGTACCTACTAGCAATCTGAAAAAAAAACCCACCTCATTTTATCAAAGCAGGAATCTGGTGCTATAAAGGTGAAATGTCCTTCATCCAAGCAGTCCCAGATAGCAAACGCTATAGATCTCTGTGTTCCACAATCTCTTATTTAATCAGTAGGCAATCTTGTAATCATCATCAGCGACATTCTTTCAAAACACAGAAGTAGTATTTTTAAAATGCTGTTTTAAACAAAATGTTCTAATTATATTATTTCCCTCTTTCCTGTAAAAGTTTCTTGGCACTAGTAACCATTGCCCCATTCCTTAAGATTTATATTTGAACTATAATAACTTGTTTACTGGGAGTAAACCACATTAAAACACTAATAGTCGTCTTGGTTGTTATTTACGAGGTTGCTCTAACATCATCTTTCTAAACACTAAAATAAACATACGAAATATTGCCATTGCCTTTTCCTACAACATGCGTGTCTATATCTTATTTATTGCTTTATGTTTAAGAAGGTAGACTCATCTATATTATACCATCCAGATGAATATCTAATTAATAGCATATTATATCTTTATTCATATCAGTCCTTTAACAGTTTAATTTACTGTTTTCAAGTTTTCAGTAGGAGCTTTCTGTGTAACAAAAATATTTTGACTTATTTCATGGGATGCCTTTCTTGAATAAAACCATAGCTCATGAATTCATAAACTAAAAGACCTTGAGTCTATGGGAATTGGTAGATTCTTCTTATTCCCATAGCTGATGTCTATGTAATGTACTTTTTGTTGTTCTTTCTCCTTGCTTGGTTGAAGTAGACCTTGCTGGACCAGCCTAGCCATGAGCAGCATTATTGTCCTGTAGTGTGAACTAAAGGTGATCTTAGATTGTAAAAGCAACGTGGAACCAGAGTTAATGTGACCCAGCTTTCTTTTTCATCAGCCAAACCAGCCAGCCCAAAGAAGATCCCAGGTGCCACAAGTAAATTACTTGGGAACTCTTGTAGACTGCCCTACCAAGATCAGCAAGCAAGAGAAGAGCAAAAACACATAGTGCAGAAGGCCTAAATTTATCCTTAAAAATAGACTTTATACATAATAGAAGCCAAGCAACAATTTTATGCATCTGTAAAGTAACAGAAAATAAGACTAAAATGATGGATATCATGGAACACTTTATATATATATATAAGTAGCAGAACATATATAAGTAGCATGAGCCACCAGTAATGCTGTACTTTCTTGTTGCAGTAAAGATATATTTTAATGTATCTTTTTTATAAAAAATAATTAAAATTTATTCTATTATATACTTTTCTTGCTCTATAGATACTATATTTAACTATTGGTGGTTCAGGAAGTTTTTTTATGACATTAAAATGACAAAATGATAGCATTTAAATAAGAAGCTTCTTAATTATATACATTTAAATAAGAAACTTCTTAATTATATTCAAAGTTCTCTTTGAATAACTACAGAATAATATAGCAGTTTCTCTAATCTCTGTCTAATATTAAGAATTATTTCAAGACAGAAACTATCTGCAAACTACTTTATCCAAAGGGATAACTAGCATCTCTCTCAAGATTGAAATTCCCAATAAAAATCACTTTTATTATCTCACTAAAATGAAATCGATGCCACCTCTATTAAGTGACAGGAGCTGGCACTTAATAGAAGACCCATTGAGTAGAATGGAAACTCCTCCTAGCAAGTATATCACTCATCACCACTAAAAAAAAAATCCACCAAAGTCTTTAGCATCCTAATAATTAAAGTGCACACTTTATTATAATGCACTTGTGATATATGCTGTTATATACAGTAAGTCCATTGGGTTCTCTTCGATAAAGTGGTGCATATTTCACAAAGTCATACCTTTAATAAACTCATTAGTCTTTAAGGTGCCACCTGATTCTTCTTTGACTGTATTATTTACAGTAATAGTTCAGTGATTAGATAATCAGCATATTTTATCTTAAAGATTGCTTACATGAAATAAACAAAATTTTTGGTTTAAAATAATATACAAAATAGGAGATCAGTCTGAAAAATATGAAGTCTTGTGCTTCATTATCTTTCCATGTCACTAGATACTTAGTGAATGAGCGTAATGAATCATTGACAGCAAATTAGTGGTGGTTCTTTGAATCTTTCCTCAATAAACTGTAGATAGGTCATGTTTTAAGAGTATTTTTCCTTCCCTAACAGCAGCAAGCCTTTTGCTTGAAACTGGCAAAGTTCTCTGTGTTATTTCATGCCAAACAAAAACTTCATATTTATGATTAAGGCTCATAGCTGTATGTTGGACATCTGTTACACAGTATGTCTAACCGAGTCATCAAGCTTATGAGTTGGGATGATAGCTAGCTAGAGTTAGTTACAGAGTGTCTTGATTAAGTGGCGAGGTTAAATTTTATAATTGAATGTTGAGTTTGCTTTGAATCATATCCAGTTGTTTGATTTTCAGATAATTACTTTGTCATGATGGTCACAGACACAGCATTTGGCAGCTAAGCTGCTGTGGTTGCAAAGAAGTTATCAATGCACACTCTGCCATACTTTTTATGTGTAAACATGATGTATCAAGGGAAATCTATAAGACAATTAGAAAAAAAGCCAAGCTACCTATTTCTAAATTGAGAATGGCTTGTCTTAGCTTGGTGCCTATTAATGTTTTGTATGTTTATGTACATCCAGAAAAGACAGAAAACATTTTTCAGAAATAGTTATTCAGTCTGAATTTATAAACATTTTTAACTGACTTGAAAGAAGGTTAATAAAATAATTTTAAAAGCTCCTTGAACTTGCTGGATTCAATATAAAGTGAGTGATGGCTTATTTTTTAAAAAAAAATAAAAACAGATACTGAAATTATTAGTATTCTAAATGGTGGCTAATCTTCCATCAGAGCTGGGCATTTTTGTTGGTGATGTTGTTTAATCTTATCAAAAATAATCTTTTGGATTAACCATAGTGCTGGGATTGAAGTTGTAATGGGCAGAGCCAAAGTCATTCATTTTTTCTTTTGACACTGTTGTTGTGATGACACCCATATTTTTCTTTTGTAAGCAACTAAGATGGACAGCTCCTGTGACAAGTCTGAAGGGATTCCTTTATCCAGCTTTTTAAATTATACTTTCCCTACCCTATACAAGTATAGTAGTTCCTGATTACTCCTCTGATATGATATTTTTGCATAATAAGCCTCCTAATAGGATATTGTTTGGTTTTGTGTGTGTGTTTATTTTTTCTCTATGCAAAAATTAAAATACAAGTCCAACCATGGGAGTTATTATGTACAAGATACATTCCCGTTGTATAATATAGTTGATCAGGAAGCCAAAACGAGTTTGTGAGAAAGTTCAGTTGTCCAGTAAACATGTTGCAGAACAGTTGTCTGTTACTCAGGCAGCAACTGACCTAATCCACTTAGTTTTAGCCCTGTACTACATAGTTATTTTGCATATTTTTGCCAGTGGATCACCAGTATTGACATGTTGATAGGTTAGGATTCACCTACATTCTGAAGTGCTACAATCTAAATTTCCGGTTTTATCTCTCAGCCTCAATAGAAACATGGAGTAAGATTGATTTTCTAAATAGGAAGGCAGATGTGAACAGGTGTGTTGCATAGAGCGAGTGACACTATTATGACACTTTCGTTTAAGGCTAATTGAAATTCTGGAGAGAAGCACTGGTGTTAGTGCTACATCGCATTCATGTTTTAGTACTCCAGGCAATACACTAATAATGCTTTAATGCCATGGAGATTTTCTGTTTTGCCCTAGCTGTTAGCTCTCAAAGGTACAGCTACAATAGATAATTAGACTCTACACTTAATAGACTTAGCAGAAAAGAGGGCTCCTTTGGAAAACTATGTTATTGTTGTAGAAAGTGGGTGTTGTAGAAAATGAGTATGGGAAAGAAGTTAGGAAGAGTCAAAACTGAAACAGCACTTTCAGTACAAATACAAATATGATGATGTTTCTTTGTGGCTATGTCGTTGCCTTATGTAGACTGTCCAAGATTTTATTATAAGGGAGACTTATGGTCCAATCAATTACAAAATAATACTTGGTGAGAGTCTGCTTTATTCCTTATTTCTGTGTATTCGTGCACACAGATACCGGAAAACACATTAGCTCTTAGAATTATTATTTCAGGGAATATAGTATCCTTCCAGATTTAGAGATTGTTTGCAAATAAATTTCATAACCCAGTTCTAATTAAAGAGATACACAAATCTCTTCCAGTCATTTCTTATACATTTCAGTTACTGCAAGAGATATTTTGGATTAGTATTAGAACTTCTGCGATGGCTTAGAAGAGCTAACATTATGGGGAAAAAAGAAACAACAGGTTTTTTTTGTTATGCTTGCATGTGAGAATATATGTGTGTATAGTGTACATCAACACTTAAACATCAGTGTAGAACACTTCTTATTCCTGACTGCTGAAATTAACATAATTTTCTGCAGTGCTCCCATTGTTAATTGGGTCTTTCACTTCTGCACATGCAAATGTTTCCCTGTATTAATTCCAGAATCAGCTTTTTATCATCTGTCTTCTTCATTGATAATGCCTTCAAGCCATTGGCATGCAGAGTCTACAGCTGTTCAACTGTATCCTTCTGTCAAACTCAAAACTTAATAATCTTG